GGGGGGGGGGGGGGGGGGGGGGGGGGGGGGGGGGGGGGGGGGGGGGGGGGGGGGGGGGGTCATACTGCTTTTGGCGTTGTGCATACGGCGGTACTTCTGGTTCTTGTCGTGTATCAACGGCAAACATGTATCCTGCTGTCGGCCAAAATGCGAAAGACAAGATATTTTTTTTCTTTTTTTCTTTTTTTTTTTCTTAACTTCGAATCAGCGCTCACAGCACTGGTGCCGTTTACTCCAACCCGTGGTCACACAGAAGAGCCCCCCTCTACCCTCCCCTCTGCGGAACTTTGCCTTCGATTTTTAATGCGAGAAGAGTTCAGCACTCTCTTCCCTCTGTGTACACACGAACTAGCGCTATCCACTAGGCCAGGAGCGGAAGCGAGAGAAAAACTCAATTTGAAAGAAAAGCTCGCTTACGCCGGGATTCGAACCCCTGACCTGACCTCTCGAAAGTTTCGATGTTACCAACTAGACCACCGGGGCGACCTACATACTGCCTACCGTAAAAACACTTTCCGCCACTCGGCATTGAAGACATTCGGCATTACATGCATATTGACCACCGAAAAGCGAACGTGAATATTTAGCTTTTACCGCCTCCGCGGATATCTTGCTCTGCCCGTTAATTCAGGTGCACGAGAACAGAGAGAGCTTAAAAGAAGAGGGACCGAGCACGCCAACATCGCGAACACTGCCGTTGCACAAATGTATAGTCCATCACTGCCCATGTCTACCAGCGCCCCCAAGAAAGTCTTCTATATTGAATGCATAGGTAGCACACAGATACGATCAACTGAAACCAGAAGAAATCATTCATCAGATACACCAACCTAACCCTAACCCTAACCCTAACCCTAATGTGAAGACAACAACAACAACAGCAACAACAACAACAACAAAAAACAACCCACAGCACGTATTTGCGTGGCGCGCAGCGAACTTTGAGCAGGGGAAGAGAAAAGAGCGGTTGGGGTGCAACGAGAATAACACGTCACAGGGAGTAACTCGGCCGGCCCATCGTGTTGTTGTTGTTTCTTACATTAGCTCTAAAGTCTACAAAAAATGGGGAGCCCGTCGTCTCAAAACCCGGCACATACGACGCCGCCAGAAAACAAAAAAAACAAAATTGGGTACAAACCACTCGGTAAAAGAAAACAGAATGATAACAAGAAAATACTGAGTAACAGGTATCGCACCGACCGTTCTAGAAAAGAGCCCTCGGACACCGATCAAAACAAAACAAAACAAAAATAACAGAAACATAAAGGAGGACGCTTCCCACACCCGCCCAAAGAAAAAATCAAAGGGTAACGTACCAGCACCAGGCACTGCGCACCAGGACATGGGAGTAACGGAGCAAACCAAAGAGGCGGCAGATGGGCAGACAGCCAGACGTACAAAAAACAAAAACAACAGCAAAGCGAGCTCAAGGTACCCAACACAGCAGAGTAGGCAGGGAGGTCATGAAAAAAAAAACACAGCACAGAGGCCGAAGGCAATACAAAGGACATAGCATACATAAAGGAGTATAGCATACGGCAGGGAGGGAAACAGGGCGCAACAACATCAGCCGGGTACATAGTTCGCCACAAGCGCCGCCTCGGCCGCCCTACTCGCTTCTACAGCAGTGCCCGGTCGCCGTTTCTTCCCCCCCACCGCCGCTTAGCCGGTTCTCTTTCTGTTCGGTCCTGAGATGGTCGTACTCTCTGCTTCTGCTTCCCTCGCGCGCTGGCGCTTCGCGGACGCTTCCGCCTCCTGCCTGTGCCATTTCCTCATGAACCATGCCGCCCCGTTCTCGACCTTGTTGTACCACACCTCCGAGTCCTTGGCGCTCTCTTTCCATTTCCCCTCTTCCTTTTCGTCTCCCATGATGAAGGCCACGAGGTCCTCCCCCAGANTTTTTCGCCCCCCGTCTTGCTGCACCCCCTGGGGTGTGGTGCAGGGCGGGGGATGCCTGGTCGGCGGGAACCCGGCACGGAACCCTCCGGCGTTGTAGGCGGGTGTGGGAAGCGTTCCCCGTTCTCCTTTTATTTTATTTTGATCGGTCTCCTCGACGCTCTTTCTCGTTTGGTGCGGTAGCTGGTCTTTCTTTCTATCATTTTGTTTCTCTTCCGAGTGGTTTTTGTACCCTATTTTTTTCTGTTTCTTCGTGGGGTCGTGTATGCCGGGTTGTGAGACCACGGGCTCCCAATCTCTCTTTGTTAGAGCCAATGTGAGAAACAACAACAACCAACAACAAGTCTCCGTTTGCGCACGGTGGCCTCGATGGTTTCCTCGCAGCCTGCCTGGATGAGGGCCTGGGCATGTGTGTGTGTGATACGCTTCCGTGTCGTTAGCGCTCTCAAGCGCGCCGGCCGCCCCACTGCTTGCCCAGCTGGTCAACCATGCATCACCCGAACCAGAGAAACGATAATGCTGTACTGACAATCGAGGGGCACAACGAAAAGCGATGTAGTGTCCTGGACACGGACACATGGGAAGAACTTTTCATCCGTCACGCAAGCACAGAGAGCGAAAAGAGTGTCGATCCAACGGTCAACACACGACGCTGCTTGGACAGCAAGCAAATACGCAAACAGGGGATCCTTACCGACTAAACTGCTGTGACTCACCCCAGCACTTGGCACTAGAACCGATCGTTGCGCAGACGTGCTCATTGCCCACGTCCATCACCGCCATCGACCTGACGGCGCATACAATGTATTCCAAGGAGAGAGAGAACAAAGGTGAAGAAAGGGCCGGGGAACGTGTTCTCAGAACGAAAAAATGATTAAACAGAGTCGCGGGGAAGTCCTACTACTTACACGCAACCACTACAAGCCACCACGAAGTAAACAGGACGCCTACGGCTTCTCAGGCGAGAAACTACAGCAGTTGGGGTGATGAAACGAAAATAATCAAACCTGCAGGAGAAAACCGGAGGGAACAAGCAACACACTTTTTTTTTATCGACTCACCTCTCGAGCATCAGCCCGGAGGCCAACGCCAAGAATGCAGTCCCGCGAGCCATAGCTTTGGGTTTGCTTATCTTGCGATACGCCTGTTCTACGTCTCTCTGCCGAAAGAGTAGGCCCGCGTTGTGCAATACGGCTCTCGGTGATAGGTGTGCTGGCTGATGACTCGGGTGGGGTATGGGGTGTGGTCGTCGGTTGCGTGACGCGCCAGGTGTGGCAAGATGCACGTCCGAATCACAAGAGGGCGCCTTCCTCACAAGAGTGTGTAACTCCGTATCTCGTCGAGTTTCCGTCGGTAGGAAAAAAAATAACCGGTTCTAGGGCGCCTTCCGACAGAAGATTCCATTTCCGGCATCAACAAAAAAAAAAAAGAAGGTTTCGCGCCACCTTTGGACGAAAATAAATGCGGCGGGATCCATTTCACAGGGAAGATCAACTCGGAGCCAAGCGTGCACCTCGCCAATCGACTCCGCTTGGTCGAATTACCCACAAAGGAACTCACTGCAGGGTCTCCCGACCCCACCCCGACGAGATACTGCTCTTTCCCTTTCCGTCTCCTGGACGGTGGCGGCTGCTGCCACCATGCTGAGGCGCGATGTCAAAATTGCGGGAGAAGCGAGGGTCATCAGGCACAGATGGCGCACGCACCCCAGGGGCTATCACCTGACCTCCACGCTGCTGAAGAAGGGCACTGAGACTGCGGCTACCAAGGCAATAGGCTCTGTGGTGGATAACCTCTAGGGCGTTGCACGTATGGCCCGAGAGCATGTTGATGACCTCCAAGAACGGGCTACTAAACGTCGCAAGAAGAAACCGGAAGGAGCCGCCACCAGATCTGCTGCCGCTGCTGCGGTGGCTGCTGCTGCTGCCGAACGAGGTCCAAGGTTAGGAGCCGATGCACGTCTCGCTCGCTCGGATCCGCTTGAGGCGCATCTTTTCAGCGGACCGAGGAGAAGCCCACAACCCACGACGACTCCTCCACGACAACGGCAAACGGTGAGTTCAGAGCGGCGTACGGCAAGAGATAGGGTGGTATCTTGCGTTTTTTTCAAGTGTTTGAATTTCCCTGCTGTAGGCTATTTTAGACTACTGCTGTATTTCCGGTACATTCCCCCCCGGGTGCTCTCCATCTTCCCGCGAAAGTATTGAGTCCCATCCTCACATTTCCCCCCCCTCTCGTCAAAACTGCTTTAAATTATATCGTAATCAAACCCAGGCTATCGACGGGCACCGCGACGGGGTGAAGCAGAGCGTGTTAGAGGATGATGTGTTGAAGGAGGAGCTGAGGGAGTTGCTGCGTGTCGGAGAACTTGGAGAGGCAGCGGCGACGAAGGCTGCTGTCGATGCGGAGAACACTCGCGCACTGGTCGCCTCTATAGAGGCGCTGAAGCAACACTCCCACAGCAACATCGGCCGCACTGCCTACAACACCGTCATTGCCGCAGCTGCCGGAGCGCAGCACACGTGCGATCCTGATGACCCTTGCACCCCGGATGAGCCGTGCGCACCTGCTGAGCCGCATGGTGCCGTCAGCCTTACCGCGCGAGCACAGAGTCTCGGTGTGAGAGATGCCACGTTCCGTGCAGCGCGTACCCGGATGCACAGGACTGACCACACCATACCTCCACAGGAAGCTTTGGAGAAGGGGAGATACCTCTGGGCTCCTCGCAAGGAAAGGAGCGACAAGATGGACGAACGTGTCATGGGTTTGGCGAGGAGGTTCTGGCACTCAGACGATATTTCTCGTGCGTCGGGAGACTCCGGTAAGCGGTAGGCGTTGTCAAAAAAATTTGTTATACAATTGTAGATCGGGGTATCTCCTTTGCCGTTTTTTGTCGACGTGACGTATCAACTGCACTTCTCTATTCCCCTTTAGGTAGCTTCACTATTGCTGCTACACTGCACACTGCTGTTCTTTCGTACACCCCTGTAGGGACGAAAGCTATGTGGAGGCCGTCCAAGAAGGCAGGGGAGGAGTATCACCCCCGTAGGCAGCTCATGGTCGCGGGGGACCAAGTATGGCACAAGTTTCTGAAGTGGCCGGAGTACTTGGGGCTTAAGGCGGAGCTGCTGAGGGAAGACAACAGCTTCACGGACCCTGGGCGGACGCTGTTCCTCTCGACGCGGTGTGGGTGCTTAGGTGGGTAGACATGAGGGGAGAGCTCCTTTTTTTTTTCCCACGAAACAGCGTAGTGACCGTTCCAGCGTAATGAACTCTTCTGCTGTGTCACCGCCCCAGAGGACGGCCTCGTTGCTGACCTGCTGTCCTCCTTTCTGTCCGTTTCAAATGTTCGCTTCTGGTGTGTCACAGTGGAACCCAAGGTATCGCAGTGTGCATGCCAGATCCACACGCAGCAGGGGCTGTACCTGAAGGCCTTCGAGATGTTGATGCCTGCAATACATGCCAACTGTGACTGCACGTGCAAGTGGTGCGACGGGGGGAGTGGGTGTGGAAAGTGGATGGCCATGTGTAAAGATCTGCACAGCTTTTCTGAGGCTTTGGCTTGCGAGAAGGTAGACTTTCTTGAGGAGGACCGAGGGGGTAGGTTTGAGCACTGGGGGAGGAAGCCCGCATGCGTTGCGATGGAATGTTCCGAATGCGGGTTTGGCAACCCAGGCGGCATCCCCATGAACTGCGATGCCCTGGGGTCTATGGCGGACAGAGTAGTCGGGTGGCTTCGGTTCGCGGATCAAGTCATGGAGGATGGGAAAGTGCACAAGAAGCAGCAGCTACCCCAGGGCGGAAAACTGGGTGACCTGTGGCAGGAGTTTGTGGAGCACTCCAAGAAGGTGTGAAGGAATGGACCGCATGTGGAATTGCGCCATCAACTGGAGGCATGTAGTCAATCGTGCATCAACACAATCAATCGCGCAACGTACAACCGTTATTTCCTTTCAACTTACAACTATATTTTCCCGCCCCCCCCCTTGCCCCCCGTTCGTTTTTTATCCCTCAGTATCTTCATCACCATGAGCTAGCAAAGTGGCAGCGCCAAGCCCACAACATGTGCCTGGCGACGTTCTCCAAAGGCGAGCTGTTGGTGGAGACCGACTTTATCGAGAAGTACAAGCACGAGGCTGGCGCTATCTTGACGTGCGCTACTGCGCCCTCCACGACCATGATGGTGGCCCTAGTTCACCACAGTCCTGACGACAACGGCCGGCATGAGACAGACGCATGGGTTTTCGTATCGAGTGATCCCAATCATGACTTCGACTTCCACATCTACGCCATGGACATCATCCTTCAGTACTACATCACGGGGGATGGGCGGGCCGCTACTGCTGGAACCCCGACCCCGACGGTGCACATCTTCACCGACGGGTGCGCCAAACAGTACAAGGGGAAGCGCAACTTTCATGCCGTAGCCAAGAGCTTGCACAGGCTTGGTGCCATCCTCATCCACAACTTCGCGGTCACGTCGCACTTCAAAGGCGCCCACGATGGCATCGGAGGGTTGCTGAAGGCTCTACTGCGAGAAGCGGAGAAAAGGGGCCAGCGCATCCACGACACCGAAGCCGCAGCCGACTTCCTCAAAGCCTACGCCGAGGCAAAGGAGGATGGAGGAGGCCACTTTTCAACCTGGTCTCCCTACCGAATCAGGAGGTTCCACATCAAGCTTCTTGGACACCGAGAGATCCCTCGCCCGTTTGTAGATTTGACCGGCATCTCTGGGAGTTCCAAGCTGTACCAGTTCATGGGAGCGGAGGTCCAGGAGGAGGAAAGCTCGGGCGTGAGCGTAGAGGTGCAGAAAGAGAGCGGGGTTCCTCCCCTCGTAGGTGGCGAGAACGAGGTTGTAGTTAACCCGCTGAGATGGCAGGCAGACGAATCAATCGTTCTGACGGTTCCGGCTGTCACGAAGCGATACAAGCTGCGCGTTCGCCAGGCGTCGTGCTACTGCTCGAAGTGCAGTGTTGGAGCTTACGACGACTGCGTCCCGGCCAAAAAGTATGAGGGGATGGTCGGTATGGTGAAGGATGTGTCGGGCAAGCACAAGGTAACCCGGACGTCTTGTGGTGTAGGGGATTGAGGGGTGTCCGTGTTGCACGTCATGTGTTGATTGACGCCTTTTTCTCTTCGATGTTCTTCTGTTTTTTTGGGTAATTTTGTTGCAGTATTTGTACTTTTTTTGTTGCTGTGTGCTGTTTGTTGCATGTTGCTGTATTCACGTGCAGCAGCAGGTCGTCTCCCTTGCAGTTTGGGATACCAAAAAAGGGTCTCCAGCAGGAGAAAACAATATTTGCAGGCGCTGGTGGCTAATATTTTCACGGTTTGTCGCCCAAATAGGCTGTCTTTTTCCATATATATATTGCACAACATACATTATTTTCAAGCACGTCGGTGAAATAAATGTCCCATATGTCACAGGGTATACTTGGGGTAAATCTCCGCGGTTGCACGCATCAAGTAGCCCAAAAAACGCGCTTGAAAATGGCCCTAAAAACACGTTTTATCGCCGTTTTTCCAAAGGGGGGGGACGTTTTAGCCTCATCCCCGTTTTTTTTTTTTTCATACAGTGTGCAGTATAAAACACTACATATGGCTGAAACCTCAACATCCCGACGTCGGGCACTTAATTTAACCCGCGGAACGAGGCCTACACCCCACCAAAGCACCCTGACACACTTTTTGGAGCTTTAGTCTTCGGGGAACATCATCAACTGGACCGCTGCACACTCGAGCGCGGAAGGCGCCCGTGGACCAAATAAAGAAACACTTCGCAAGATCTTGTCAAATGAAGGATTTTTGGAGAGGGCGGGGACGAACCCAACAGTCCCACTGCGGCGGTGCAATTCATAATGCGTAAAACGCTGGTGTGCGTCAAGCACCTCAGCACCTCTCTTCGTCACAGCCGCCAGTGACGGCGATGGACCATCTTAGCCGCACCTGTTCGTTCGCCCCGCTCTTGCCCCCGTCGGCGCCAGCTTTCTTGGCCTCGCCACGGATCACTTGGCGACGTCGTAGCCATGGCCACTTGTCGTTCGCCCGGCAACATGGACCTGGCAGCAGGAGGAGAGGAATTGAAACAGTAGCGGTGGAACGGCAGCCAGCTGGTGGCGGTGGCGGCGGTGTTGAAGGCGTGCACTCGGAGCAG